TAACCAAACTTTTTAGGTTAGGAACAATTCGGTAGATAAGTGATTGACCTCAAACATAAAAATGGCGGCGAACAAAGCCTAATCCGTGTGATTTAATTCAATAAGACAGAAACAAGTGAAGCCTGAATTTAAGTACAAAGTAGGTTAATCAACTAACGAATTACACTTAATTTTTACCGTAAAAACAACTAGTATGACGTAAACGAACATACGGAATAGTTTTTTTTCTACGTTTAGCAATTCTAGTTGAGCAAAGAGTATGTAATGAAACTTTTCAATGAGATTAAGTAATTTCATAAATTACCCGCGCAATGATTACGCGCAACCTAACTGGCCACCAAGAAAACAGTCCGCGCTTTCGACTTTTTTCTTAATAAATGGGCAAATGTCGCAGGCGTACAGCCAGCGCTACGGGCAAGTTTTTAAGTGACATAATACTGTTTATTAAATATTGATGATAAACCTGATATTGCGCATAGTATGAATTGCATTGTATAAAAAAATAAACAGCGTCTGTCTGAAAAGGAATTACAAATGGGTCCCGCAAAGCAAGCATGCGTGCCGGCATGGCGGCAACATCTTGCTCGGATGATTGTATACTTTTTGTTTAATTTTAATCGTAATGTCTTAATGTAGATTAACTTTTTATTTGAAAATAATAACAAGGTATGTAAGATAATCATTTTTCGTTTTATATCTATAGAACATATATACGGAATGCAGTGCAAGCGTTACTGTAACTCAATGAAAAGTCTCAAACACTATTTCCCCTAAAAATGGCTCCTAAAACATCAACTCTACTTTTAATATTAATTACAAATATATATTTTAGCATCAACATTTTATTCATCATCATCTTTTTCATCGTCATTTAAGATCATCTTGAATTAAAAATAAATATTTCATCACATAAATGTTTTTGGCACATTTTTGTTAAAAAAATGTATAAGTGGTAATGTGGCGAAGTATTCGATGCAGGCATAATTTTTTAAAAGCGTTATTTCAAAAGAACTTGCACAGAGTAATAAAATACAATTACCACACACACCAAGTCTCACAAGTTGGTCATATAGAATAAAATCTTGCATATAATAAGTAGGTTCATCCTCTCCGAACCGAAACCGAGGGTAATTTAGCAACTATTTTCGCAAGCGGAATCGCCGTCGGCTTATTAATTCGTGTACGAACAGGGAGGAAATAATTAATGGTTCAAAGCATCATTATTTTTATAGGACGACGCGGCGCGGAGGCAGAGGGGAGATGTCCCCGCGTGCGCCAGCGCAGGCTCCGCCCCTGACTTAATTGCACCAATCTGCGGGACGAACACGCACACACGCATTTCCACGCACCGACGTACGCATTTCCACAACCACACGTAATGGCACATTGCATTAGGCAAATGCATCGCCTTTTGTGTTTCTTAATCGCAATTCATTGTTAAAAGAAACGTAAATAGAATAGGCTAAGCTATAATTCCCGTACACTATATAATTAAGTGTCTAGTTGTAACGAGAATTTCAAAAGAGCAAAAAGCGCAAAGAGTAAATGAAGACAGAGCTAACGAATTATAGAGGACAGAGTATGAAATGCAAAGAAAAAATAGGTTGGTAATGCGAGCCCTCGCAGGTCGCTGGCTACCTACCTTCATGAGACCTATACAAAACGAATGTTTAGTCAATTTTAATTGGTATAGTGATGATTGCTCTTGATATACCTTGTTCATTACTCTGCTCTATGGCCGAGGTAATTGAAGAGGGCTCGTTAATGGAATCAGTATGGACTTAATCAGAGAACAATTTAAATTCTCATACACCTATAACGTGTCAACTACGTTTTTTATATAGTTTTTAAATGTTTCTAAATATCATATTAAGACATTTATATGCAATATAAATATGAAATTCATAATTCGTTATGTGTTGGTTATATGTTTTGTTCGTTATTCGATAAAACGTGCGCCTAATTAGGTGAATTTCGATATTGGGATTTTATAATGTATTCTGATTTAGTATAATAAAATTTGAAATTAAATCGTGAAACGTGTTAGTAAAACAGCATTTTAATACGTGAAATCGATTACCTTTACTAACCAATGAATTGTACAAATATTTCAAAATGCTTTTTCATAGTGTAAATGCTTAATATATCGCGGCTTTGTTACCTGTAGTATCTTCAATTATTTTAAAAACAAATTAACTACGTAAAACCGTAAAGTACTTACTTCTGGCTACGTAAACTGTGTATTCTAAAAATACAATCGTCAAAAGTCGTAATACCAAGATTTTGCATTATTTTAAATATTATGAATAACGGTGATTACATAAAGGTGAAATAAAAACCATCTCTGATATTTTCATAAATTTATTTTCATCGTATCAAATTTTGTTATCATTACTTTCGATTTTTATTCGATTGAATTACCATTACATTTAAGCAAGAAAATAATAATTGTCTGCTGCTAAAAATGAATAAATATGGCAGGCGGGAATTTCAACACGAAATTTTTTATTTAAATTATTATTTAATTCAACAATTTCCTGATATTATTTTTTAAAACATTTACGGTAAATTCTTAAACAAATATCGAATTAAAAAACTCCTTTACTTTTTTGATATATGAAAAAAGCCGTAAAAGTGATCTCAAACGGAGTGAAATAAATAATTTCATCCATATCATCAATCGCGTCACCAAACCATAAATTATAGAGTCGGTGTCAAATCGGTTGCCCTCGCCCTATATCGTGTTACACTCACCTATTACGACAACAGACTGCGTACAATAAAAAAAAGATCGGATCCATGGAATGTAGAAGTCTACGTTTTGTTTTACATTGCTCAAGATCCCCATTTCTAACTTGATTCAAATCACTGAACTTAAATGACAAAATTACTTAAATGAAATGTTACAACCTTATAAAATGTCAACAATACAAATATTTTATAAGTTTTTTTGCTAAATTATCTTCATTATGAGCAAATGTAGTGTTTTTATACAGAACTTAACCCATTAAAATTAACAACAACACAGGAAAAAATATTGTCTACGAATATTCTTGCAAAGAAAATTATATATTCTATATGATAAAGCCTCTTAAAAGACTTACCAATTGCTGGCCTTTTATGCAAATAACATTTGTGATAATACGAATAATAAACCTTCATGTTGATAAAAAATAACATACAAATAATAAGGTAGGTATGGCTTTAGTGAAGAGACCGCAAACACATTCAAAGGACATAAAAAGTTGCAGACCTCACTGTCATCGCACTGGTTTATTGCAGCCTTGATGTTGCCCAAACATATTTAACGATCTCCGATTCACCAATCACATAAACGTATACAACATTGTATCGAGAATCGAAAGTTATGATTGTATTTTAACGTATCTTTGATGAACGCTGACAAGTCAAATAAAAAACAAGCAGAAAATCAATGTTTCACATAATTTTATCGTACGTAATCGCGATGGCCGCTGCCGTGCCGTGTGTCGACAAATGAATTTACCAGATTTAGATATAATCAAAGCGAGAAGAAGCCGCCGCGTGACCCTCGACGTAACACGATAACGAAGCGAGTTTACAAACAGGCCAAAAATCGGTTTAAAGCGGGGACACACATAAAATACACCACGTAACTGCTGCGAACGCGACCGAATCGATTCCCAGTTCCGATTCCGAGAAGTGACACAGTTTCTCGAGTGTCACATCACTACCGACGCACACGGTAATAAATTAGCCGCGGCGCGCGCATGCCAATCTAGCCTTTAAGGACGCACCTATAGACGATGTTTCGTACGATTCCGAACGAGTAGTTAAATTTTAAAGAAGAGCCACCTGTCTCCACGAAAAACTTTATAGCGGCCATTAAATTTAAACCTCAAATGAAAAAACAAAACCATGAGATTATATTTTTTTCTCTTTTACGGTCGAGGCCCATTTTAGATGGTGTTTACCTAAGCTGTCACCTTACAGAATGGCGATTTTGACCGGCCCGGCTGTTGAATTAATCGTGGAGTGCGGGAGAGATATCGTCCGATGCGCGATAAGGGCGGCCGCGCGCTGCCGCAATTTGCTTTAAATACTGACAGGCCCGCTCGCAGAATTGCAGGCCCGTTTCACATATTTAATTGTTACTGCCGCTACTTCTGCTTACTCCTTAAATATATAAGCATCCCCGTGATATATGGTTCTTACAAATTTTGTTTTATTTTTGAACTCATACCGCTAATTAGGGGGTTTTATTAATTTGAACGAACCCAATGCACATTTTAACATGACGACACGGATTTCTAGATCATATAAATGATTCCACTCAGCAACATTAACGTATATTTATATATGATACTGTTTGTTATCCCAAAAATAGAGAAAAAGACCTGTTACACTCGTATAATCCAAATAGGGTGTTCAGAAGTGGAACGACTTACGTCAGAACCCAGTTTTTTGAGAGCTTCAGACCAACGTAACAAGTTGTAAACATTATTGTAATTTTTGTGGTCAAGCCAACCAAACTTTAGCGAACATAACTTCTGTGCAAAAACCAGTCAGGTTGTTCAGATTTAAAGACGCTTGGCTCAAACTTTCATGACTTCAACTTTAATTATAAACGACTTCGGATTTAACATTTAAGAACAAAACTTATTAATAAACGAAATAAATATGTTATGTTAGATTCCATATTGATGTTAGTTATTTTAATTAACTTTTATATTACGTTGCATTAATCTGTGTATTTTACTTGTACTGTAATAATTTTTAGTAAATATTAATAGTAAACTAGCCGCACTGCCCTGTCATAATACAGAGTCATACTAGTGCGGAAGGTAGCTAAACAATTTGCAAGTAATTTTTGCTTTTTATTATTCTGTTTATGTTAATTTTAGAATGTATTTATTTTGTTATAATTGAATATAAATTAGGTTAAGTATTGTGTAAAAAAATCTATAAATAATTTTTTTTTTCATTTTCCATAGTGTCTACATATGTATACAGTATCTTACCATGCGATCCGACAGCGGCGGAGTAGGGGGCGTGCATCTGCTGGTGGTAGTACCGCGCGCGGCTGTGGTGTCCGCCCTCTAGCGGCGAGTGGAAGAAGCCGTCGGCGTTGGCATCGCCCACGTCGCCGGCGGCCGGGCTGCCGTTGACGCGGCCGTCGTACCAGCGCTGTTGTAGCGCACCCGCGCCTGCGCCGGCCCCCGCGCCGCCCTCGCCACTCATGTCCATGACCGCCAAGGCCTCACAAACCATGCATCGCTTTTATAAACACGCACTATGAGTCCACACCGATATCCGCATCGCAACAGTCAATAACTAAATTTCGTCCGCATCCACTCGTAGTACTCCAAACGCCTCTGTAGCTATCGTCGATCCTCGATCCTAAAACACACAAACAAATACTTTAAGTAGGGTATAAAACAAAAGCAGTTACGCCTAACATTTTGACCTCTTAGAAACACAGAATTTCCGTATGAGTTTATGATTTTATTAGACAACACAATTTGCGCAAGATCAAACAAAACATAACGTCAATAGTTAAGCCGGTGTTTTGTCAAAACGTAACAATCAATTAAGATTAAGGTGGTGCGGGTGCGCTATCGATATCGACAGATGGCGGAGATATCGATACGCTCCCAATTTGATTAGGCGATATACCACAAACAACACTCGATACGGCCGCGATAACGGCCAACCGCACATTAAGCGATGTTAGCCAAGCGAGCCGTGATTTTTATTGCCACTAAACTCGACTAAAGATATACGCCGTATCTAGGTATCGAATGTACCCGCAAAGTTACTCGCGCTATCTATCTACAAAGGCTACCGATTCTTTTGTCAATTAAAAACAACCGCATTCATATTAGATAAGTATACGCTTACAAAACTAAAACATTTTTCTTATCAACTGCTTTTAAAGCGTAATGATATTTTTATTAAAAATATGCGTAATTAAAACTGTAACTACACTTTTGGAATAAGAAAAATTACTTAAAAGTAACTCATATGTAATGATTAGCATATACGCATCTTGAATAAGGAATTAACTCTTTACCTCCGACGCATTAAACTCGATTTAAAGAAATACTAACAAGTTGTTTGTATAATAATTTAAACAGAGTTGATAGTCGTTGTATTGTTTGGTAATATTATATCATTAAAATCATTACATAAAAAAATTGACAAGCAAATTTAAGAAATCCAAAACGACACACATCGAACAATCATGTGAATCACCAAGAGAAATAATAAGATATGTATGACGCATATATCTTCACATTAAATGTGAATTTGTTAAATAATGTGAATTCGAATATTTAATACTTCATGTATTCTTAATTCAAAAACAGTTATTGTAATAATTCCGTCATAAACAATGAGCGTTATATGCCACTAACAATATTGCAATTCTTGTCCAAATCATTCTATTGACATTTCATATTTCATTATTTATAATTTGTTTGTAACTCTCAAATAATAGTTACTTAAAGACTTAGTTTAAAGGTGAAGGTAAGACGCCAACTGTTTTCCAAATCTATTTAAACCGTAAATTAAATTCATAAACGACATTAATAATGATGTCAACAACAAACTGTGAACATTCTCTAGGTTTCTTAAAAACGTAAAAAAAAATAAACATAGTCAGTACATAAAATTCCTTGCCGTAGACTTCCACTGTAAGAAACATTTATTATAATCTCTCTGTTTTGTCAAACTGTAAGGATTGAGAATAGAAATGAATACATGTATCACGGGAGTGGAACTCTGAGGTAACCGTATACGTAAATCTACAGTAGGTATATCTACGTTCACTTTTAATCCCGTGATGATAACAGTTTTCATAATTTTTGTTAAGCTGGTGACAAATAGATCTATGCACAATTACAATAGTGGTTAAAAAAAAGACAATGTCGTATAAATTTGTATTTGTAAAAAATATAGTGCAATTTTTTCAATATATTTTTACATTGCAAAGCAATTAACTTAATGAGAGTAAAACAATAGAAAAACAATCATGTTGTAATTTTTTAATCTCTAATTTCAAGTTCTACCCCCCGAGATAGGAGCGTAATCATGTTATTGTTTTTTTTTACTACATCGTTTGTGTTGTGCATTAAAATGCTTAATAATTAAATGTATATAAACTTAATGAACATTTCAAGACAGACAAGTGTTTTATTGATCTTCACGTGGTGGTGTTAATTTTTTATCTGCAATTCCAATATAAATAATAATTACATCCACATTCTTCAACCAAGAACGTCTTAGTTTACCTTTATTTTCGCTGTTAATAACCGTGTTGCCTATAATATTATTTTATTATGCCAACACCGAATATAGTTACACGTTTTTATATAACAGGTCTTATAGGGATTATTTCAATTTATTAAACGAGTATAAACATCTGCAACGTAAATATTTTTAATAGGAAATGTCCGAGTAAATTCAGCTTTTCTTATTATTTAAGCATAGTATTTACAATATTCTCTTTATTGAAATATTTTTTGTAACTCTACATTCCTATACATAGACTAATCTCAAACTTAACAATAATAGAATGGACATTCGAAACACTTTTATCAAATGTCATAAGCAAACAAAAACTACTTCAGATGCAAACGTATTTATTTTAGGAATATTACCAAATGTCTAAATTGTAGATTATATTTTGATAGTCTCTATATATGTAGATGCTTTAAATTTCTATAGTAAATAATAATAATAATTTTAAATTTCTACAGCACCAACTTTCGCCCGCGACTCAGTCCGCGTGGAATTAAAAAAAAAAACAAAAGTGTTCAAACGTGTTCTTCCAGAATATCCTCTACACCTATGCCAAATTCCATCGAAATCCGTTCAGAAGTTTAGGCTACAAACTCTAACAAACATCCATCCATCTAAACTTTCGAATTTATAACTTATGATAGTATGATTATTGCCACGTTACTGCTAAACGCTAATATTAACATAGGATATTAAAAATAGCTGTATTAGCAACTACATTTGTTGCTATTAATTCGTATAGCGATAAGATACGTCAGGGATACGTGCCGATAGCATCGGTAACGTTATCGCCCACTGTCTCGAATTATTATTGGTTATATCATGACTTTAATTGAATTCTAATAGCCAATAAATGTAATCATTTAAATACCTTATTGCTACTAATTAAAACACTTCAATTTGAAAGTATAAAGAATTGTTTACCTAATTACTATTAAGTTAATTGTGATACGCATTTGTAACTTTTCTTTTAAAATTATAGCCCGCAAGTAACGCTGTAAAGATGACTAAATTAATTTAGTTTGAATATTTTCAATATTGTGAAATTTTATTGAAAAATCTATATTAAGATTTTACAGATATTTTGATAAGGAAAGATAAGTTTTATGAACGCATTTGCACGTTAATATTATATCACAGATATCTACAATATTTCTCTATTATTATAACAGATAAGAGATTTTAAAACATTCCTTACTAAGAAAATAAAAGCAAAGAAATATTAACGAATATGTATTTTTTCAAATTCTATGTTCCAAAAGTCCCATTTAACAAACAACAGAAGGACATTTAATCTGAGTTATATAAAAAATACGTATCAACAACGTAAGCATTATTAACAAATCATAGTAATAAACGAAAAAAACGAATTATGATAAGAAATGATTATAAAATAATGAAAATAAGCGCTTAATCCTAGCGATCGAGAACACTTGAATTGAATCTTACCAATGTTTGATAAGATGTGATCTGCTTGCTCGATAATCTGCTATACAGAGCCAGAGTAAGCAGGGACAATAAAAAGATCTATCACAACCGGTAACGCCGCTATCTGGCAATCGACTGAAAAAAGGATTTGCTGATAAAATAAAAAGAAATCGCATATTTATCGCAAATTGTCTTCATTTCGTACGATTTCCTGGTAGTATCAATGATAAGGAATGAGATAAGTCGCAAGGAGTTCGAGAGCCTATTAATAAACTATTTGAACGTCCTCTATCAATTATAAAATTGTTTTTTTACAAATGATTATGTAAAATCATTTCCATTTAGATAACAAAAAATGTTTAACACCTCAGTATTGTGCAACTTTTCGTATTAAAGTGAAGTTGGCTGCATTGTTCATGTTTTAAGATGTTAACATGATTTAAAAAAAAAATCCTACTTACTTTCTATATCTATACTGTTATAATAAAGCGTAAGCACACACTTCTTTGTTGCCTAAGATGTCAGCAATTACAGCATGTTTTTAAATAATTCTTTTTTTAATAAAAAGCTCTACACTTGCGTCACGCTTTAGGCTATATATTTTAACGCCATTGAACTTAGGAGGTAAACATTTTGGATAAAAACCCTAATGTGGGAAAGAAACTATAAGTTGCTGCCAACATCAAGGAAGCAAGATTGTCGTCATGTCATGTCATTTTGACATTTGTTATTGATAATTTAACAAATGTAAACAATAAAATAAAATTTTCGTAATTTCGTGCGGATGAAGTCGCACTGGAACAGCTAGTAGCAAATATTCTTGATATAAGAATACTCATATTGGCCTAGAAACACTAATATTCTGCGCTTAGTATGGTCTTTTTTTTAAATAGACTTAAAAACTTGTGCTTTATTAAAATGTAATAATCTGTTCAATTATTAACACTATGTATTCTAAATTGATTTATTATTATTTGTAAAAATGTTACGTCTTTATTACATTTAAAATACTTGATATAGCCTTCATCATAAATGATTATTGACTATTGCTAAATCTTAAACACAAACTTTAACCAGTTTGAGATCAATATCTCTGTATTCTTTGGAGTTAGATAAAACATTGATAATTATTACATCTGTCTATTTAATCTTGTTATAAAGATTCGATTTTAACAGCGCTTATTATGTAAAAAGCTATATATTAATGCCAGTATTAGTTACATATTTACAAACATTTAAATTCTCCAAATGGCTGCACTATTTTTAATTTCCTAGCCTATATTAAACATCAATAATTTAATAAGTTTAATAGTTTGTGCCTTTACACTTTTTAAAAAACGAATACTTGGAGATTAATCTTGTAAAGAAATCGATCATTTTGTATTTAACAATCATAATCATAAACACGAAAGTGTTTTATTATCTACTAACTTTCGCCCGCGACTCCGTCCGCGTGGAATTAAAAAAAAACAAATGAAAGTATGCGTTCTTGTGTTCATCAGACTATGTTCTACATCTATGCCAAATTTCATCCAAATACGTACAGCCGTTTAGGCTACAAACTACAAACATCTATCCATCTAAACTTTTGAATTTATAATATTAGTATGAATTTTTACGATTTAAAAAATCTATTCTAAAAAATAGCATGAAAATGGCATTAAATAAAT